ACATCACCATGGGAAGGGGGCGATGATAACTTCCTCAATGGCTCAAGGGGGCATTTCTTTCAAAAAGGTTAAGAACCACTGATATAGATGATGGTTGCCAGTTTGAAGGTTTCTTGTGCATGAAAGAGGGGGGTTCAGTCCAAATCTGGTGAAAGATAAAGGAAAGAGAGAGCAGGGGGCCTCAAAGTTGGAGATTTTACAATGTCGCATGCTGCCTTTATGTAGTAGGTTCGGCTGAGAGGGACCTTTCTGGGCTGGGATGACTATCAATCACTAACAGCACTAACCAATAGTTCCTTCCCTCCCTTTGAGATGAAAGAGAGACATACCTCTCTGTTAAAAGTTTCTTTTTCTCTCCCTTTTGTGTGTTGGAATTAGCCAGTCAGTTGGAAGCAGTCAGTGAGTCTGTTCAGGCCTGTTGCTGAAAGTTAGTCAGCTATATTTTGTCATTGATCTGTAAGTAAATGAACCTTTTTATTCTTCTTACAGATGTTTCAGAGGGAGTTATTGAGACTGTAACTGGCAGATGACGAGAAAAAGGGGTGGACTATTCTGGGGAACTTGATTCTGCGAATCCCTATATGCCTGCTGCATGGCTACAGGAATTTAATCAACATTTAGAAATCTGCAACACAATTTTACAATGGACTCAGAGTCCGGATGAAGTTGGGCTTGCTTCTAAACAGATGTGGAGACCAATTTTTGGCATTCAAATCCCTGTCCCACACTTTTCAGGCCCTCCCTTTCTGTTTTCTTCATTTAGCTTCCTATTCTTCATTCAGATCCTGGGATGAAAAAGATATGCTGTTCAGCTGTGCATTGGGACACAAGTGCTTATAATTTAAGGTTGGCCTTGACATTAAAAGGATTGCCCCAATACATTTGCCACCCAGGCGCCTACACTGGACAATCCAAGATGAGTATCCCTTGTGAAATAGTGCATTGGTCTTTGAGTCCGACCTTTCACCTTACAAAAAATCCTTAATTGTCTTCTTAAAACATTGTAACCTCACTACTTCATCAAAGAAAACTTTGATCCCAAACAGTGATACTTCCTGCTACCACACTTTTTCTTTGGATTGCTCTCTTAACAAGTAAATAATTAGGCTATTTTGTTATTGTCTAATTTAAAAAAAAAAAAACACCACAGAAAATACGTACATCTTACAGAAAAGTTGGTAAGACAGTTTATTGTCACAAAATAGTTAATACCAGAATAACTTATAATAGTATGAACTAAAGTGAAGTTTTTTTGCTCTTTGTTTTTATTTTCAAAACTCACATTGTTATGACAAAATCCAGTAGATCAGAGGTCTTAATGTCATTGCTGTCAGGAAACCTTGTTTGTATAGTGATGCAAGTCAATCAAAAGTATACTTCAATTGTTCATACAGTCATAACATACATATCTTGCTTTTATGCCAATGCAAAACAGCCACTTCTTAAAAAAGTAAAAATATATATATTTATGTACAAAATATTTTTCATATCAAATCATTTTAATTATACAATTTAAAAACAACCACCATCACAAAATGTTATGTTACATCAAGACGTATTCTACAAGTTACATCAGAGTTGATATCTGCTCGATTATATTAGTGCAATTGGTACTGGCTATGCTTGAGGAACCTCTGTGCATACCTGAAAGTCAGCTTCACTAAGGGTTTGATACTCCTCACTATATGATCGATTGCTGTCTATAACCAGGAAAGTAGCAGTGTGGGTAACTTAGAGATGAAGAAACAGGACTTGGAGGAAACATCCGGTACATTACACTTTCAGAGGGAGTCCCAGTTCAGTCTTCATTTCAAAGCCTGCTTTATTTGGAGCTGGCTATATGGTTTGCATCTGACAGGAGACGGAGAAGGGGGAATCGACTAATGTGAGGTTTCACTGGCAAAACTCCTTTGGCACAGCTACACAAATGGCATAATATTTGGAAGCAAATTATCTCAGGTTCAGAAATGGACAGATTTATATGACTCAGCATGCAACTGATAGGTTCAATGGGAATTTCTTAATTTGGGGTGATTTGCAGCGAAAAGTTATGCTGCTTGTTCTATACCAGAGTAACTAGGGAAGATGATTTAGGCCACTGAATTTCTCAATTCTCCAAAGTTGTTGGAGGCCTGCATTCACAACCATCAGCGTATAATGCAAAATGCCTTCTTCCCAGAAAAGCCAGTATGAAAATTTGTGCACAAAATGTGCTCATATTTGTCCATCATTTTCCCTACTAACCAATGTTTGTATGTAGCATGCACACTTTTTGCAATCATTTCCCCCAATATGATAACTTATTTTGCATACTGTCCCCTAATGTGTACATGTTAATGCAAGTTTTCTACACACACTCACACACACACACACACACACACACACACACACACACACACACACACACACTTTTGTTCACATTTTTTGAATTGCAAATTGGATTGCAAAACTCTGAAAGTGCAAAATTTTGGCACACAAATCCGTATGTTTCTCACAAAAATACAGTGAGTCAGAGCCTTGTATGTTCATGCAGGAAAAAAAAGTGTACGTAATGAATTTTTCCAGTTCTTGTAATGGAAACATAGCAAATAAACCATACACAGACACAGACAAAATTCCTTTGAAATCAGTGAGACTCAGGTTAATCATGAATAAACTACACTTCATTGATTGGTATCAGTGAATATTCTGTAAACTGATTAATTTCAGTGGGTCGACTCTAAGTATGACTAAGTCAAGATCCAACTGAATTAATATACAGTACTTCATGAATGTGTAGATGGGGAACTGATGAGCAAAGCTCTGATTCTACTTTGTCTTCCCCCTTGTGGAGGTACAGTATTCTGGTTCAACACCACATCAAAATGTGTCAAATCACACAGGGATCAGCAGCTTCCAGGATTGAGAACCCATTTATAAAATAAAACTATCAAATTCAATTCATAAATTTAATCAGGATACTATTATTTGGATGTAACATTCAATTCAGTTTAAGAAAAATAAGCTAGATTTCGACTTCGGTCTCAACTGGACCATGGACAATCGACTCTTTTCTCCCCTATTTCTCTTTTACCAACTCTATATAAGCTATATTTGGCTTTAATGTTGCTTACCCAAGGCTGTGAAACTGATTAGAATATTTTTGTGTGGTTGAGGAAAAATGCTTACCTCTATAAAAACGTATTTTATAGAATTCCCTTTCCTTAGTGGCAGTCAAATGTAGGGGTTTAAAATGTTTTTTTAATGCTCAATTTAGCATCTACTTTGAGTTTAAACCGAGTAAGTGCCACAATTGTTTGGTGCTTTGTGTGCCCCACATGTTTTTAATTCAGGATTTTCGGTTTACATAATACATAAATTTTGTTATGCCTTCCCCTCCTTCCCCCATCTTTGAAATGGGGATTGTCTTCATTCTGATACATTCTGTACTAAAATAAAAACATTTTGGATGCATTAAGGCAATAAGAGTCTGCTATGGAACGTTATTGAGCTCCAGTATAAATAATAAACTGAAGCAAAGGTTGATTTGGTATCAAAAGAGTGATCCACTTTGTTTATGTGAAGACTAGTTTCAGTAAATCAAAAGGAGACCCGGAAGCTTTAAGTGGAAGAAATCCAAACTGGACTTGCTGATATTTACATTGTGACAAATGATGGTTTTATAGTTAATCATTTAAACTCTACCTAAAGATAAGAATTTGAACATTTTCCTAGATGAGACTTAAACACCCTTTGAGTTACTATCTTGTTATCTATGTTAACTTCTGATCAGTGTCAATGGGGAAGACAATCTGATGAAAAGGACCATCGTGGGAATGATCGATTTTGTTCAATGCAATCTCTTTTCATATTTACATGGAAAATTAATGGGAGCAAGAGCTGCTTTATGTCACAGAAAAAACATCTTCTGTGACAATAACTAGGATGTTTCTCAAATATATATATATATATTTCCCCCTACAGTATTGCACTTTATCAAAGTAATTGTTTTTAGTATTTTGACAGACTGCTTTAACATGCATTAAAAAAGAGACAGACAGACATATCAACTTCTTTTTCATTCGAGCAAGAAAAACGGTATGCTACTTGGTCGCATAGTGGAGTTTGCAATTTTATTGCAGAGATTTACCAGTCTCAAATTTGTACCAGGCAAATGCTCAAGGTCTTTAAATATACTGATAGACAGATAGATACCCACCCTTTCTGAGGTCAGCTTTAAATGGGTCAGGATGCATTCAGAAATACGTACATGCAAAAGTTAAGCATTGACACTTTGAGGCACACTTGTTTTGAGTTGTGCCCACGTTCTAGCTTATTGTAAGAAAGCAAGGCACTTATTGTTATAACAATGCAGATGCTTAATGTGCAGTTTGATTAATACAATAAAATAAGTTAATAGTTTGATTTTTTTTTAAAAAAATGGAGGGTTCCTTCTTCCATAATTTACATGCACTTTATAGAGTTGATTTTACATTTCATTTACAACAAAAAATAATATTTTAGCCTGAGGGAATGTTTGTTTCTTATTGCTATATTTGAGCACAATTCACCGGGATATTTTCTGACTCAACCACCATGGAAACAAATGGGAACCATCCAAAATTCCTGCTAAGATCTTGTGAAGCTCCCTCCCATTTTTAATGGTGCTTGTGCGTTGGATAACTTTGCAGTGAACTGTGCCCATTATTATTTTTTACTGACCATGACACAAAGATGCCTGTTTTCAGTACTTGCTTCAGATCACTCATCCTGATTTTATGGGAAAACCATTGGCAAACTAAATGTCCACTTGGGAAGAAAAGAAAGCTAATAACTCTCTTTAAAATGGCGGTACTAGTGGCACTTTGACAGTCTTTACTTCTGATATATGCGATGATTTCTGAATGATGCAGCTGGTTGTTCCTTGCAGTTTGTCCTTTCCTTGGGCGAGATTTGTTAAGGCCATCGCTGCATTGATCTCCTTCCAATACGTCTCATCTTTGTTTGATCTCTGTCTGTTAACTGCACTAGAATCAAGCAACAAGAAATGTTTCTGTGTCTGATTATTCTTATGGTCATGCAAGTAGAAAGTGACACAATGCAGGTCCTAACTACATTTTAAAAAGGGGGTGCTTCTCTGTCAAGACAAGGGAGGGAGGGAGGAGGAAAGAGATAAAAGTGAAATAAAGTTTACTGACAGCTTATTAAAAGGGATAGACCACAATGATTATTAATACTCTTTTAAAAATACTCGTCATTTGGGTTTATTCTAAAGGAGGAATTAGCAAGTGGCATCCAGGCACTTCCTGATTTTCCACCCATCCCCCTCCCCATTAATACATATTTCTTTTAATAAGAGAATCACATTTCTGGACATCTTCCGGAAATGCTATTCCCATTTGAAACAGAGTAACCCCCCCCCCCAAGTTTTGATAGAAAAGGTTTTTGTGGAACCAAAAGTGACTTTCTGACTGCACTTGGGTTTGATTTTGGAAGGTGGTACAGCTCTCAATAAATTCTGTAGGTGAAATTGGCCCTGGTTTCCTATAATGTATCCACCCCATTTTATAGCAAACTGTTTTGAAATGAAAGATGCTCCTTGTGGGAGACCCAGGATACTCCATGAACATCCCACCTTGTTCTTTTTCTTCACCAGTCCATGGTACTGGTGGCGAGTGCATTTCCTGATGCTGTTTAGCTAATATTTGCATATCAAAATAGATGAACTGTCTAATCAGGGGCACATCAGGGGACCTGGGCACAGGTTGTTTCAAAATATGAGGGAGAGGTGGAGGAGGAAAAGCTTCTACTTTGTTGCTGCTCTCTGAATGACTGCACCTTTTTGCAGAGGAAAGTGGGGGAGAGATGCCAGAGGCAGGGGGAGGGATCATCAGAGGTCAGTGATATGTAAGGAGGCAATCAGGATAAAGTGGACTGTGGGATCTGGAATGGAATCTTCTCCAGTCAGAATTTTGACTTAAGCCAAGGGGGCTTGAAAAGCTTCTTTAAGGTTTCTTTTAAAAACCATTTCTAGTTGTTAAGTTTGTTACTGAGCCTGGTTTGGGTGGAATTTGTCAGCAAGCCTAGGAAGTGCTGTCAGATCTGATCCGATACATCATTACATAGCCAAGCCAAGCAAGGTAAGGTAGGCCCAGCAGGAAAACAAACCCAAAAACTTGAAAAGAATTACTTTATTTTTGGAATATACCTCCCAGAATCTCCCATAGAGGAGGAGAAGTTGTTTTTGCAAGCATTCGTTCTGAGGACTTGCAAAATCCCTCAGAGTTTTTCAAAGGGAATCAAGCTAAAAGGGACCATATGGATCATCGAGTACAGGCACCATCAAGAAGGAACAGTGGGAATTGAACTCCCAACCTCTGTCTGTGCAGCCAGAGACCTAAACCACCGAATTATCAGAATGTGTGTTAAAAAACTAGGGTGTGCAGCATATCATCCACCCACCCTTACTCCCAACAGCTGTTATTTGCTTACAAAATACACTACTTGCAAAGCTGTATATTTTGTTTTGTTTTTACTCACCTTTCACACTTGTTAGGTCCGTTCTCCAGATTGTCTGAAAGGAGAGAATATTCCTGTTAATCTCTACTTTCATAACAGTAAATGTTAAAGTTAGAGAAACAAGCAGATATATTTTTGGGATTGTAAAGGATGGTAAAGATACGCCTGTGTGCCTTTTTCTTTCTTTCTTTAAAACATAGGCTTATAAAGTGTAAAAGATGGATCCCAACCACTCGAAAACATGAGGATTTTGCTCTCTCCAGCTAAAGCAAAGTATGCTGCTTATACACTGCCCCATAGCTCTTAAAGCACTCTCTGGGCAGTTTACAAGTTAATTCTGCAGGCTATACATTCCCCCCCCCATGGGTTGGGCACTCATTTTACCAACCTCAGAAGGATGGAAGGCTGAGTGAACCTTGAGCTGGCTATCTGCGATTGAACCCTAGGTTGTGAGCACAGTTTTGGCTTCAGTACACCAGTTTAACCACTCTGCCAACAGGCTGTCTTTTGCATTCCTGTTCACATACTAATTGTGAAATATGTCAGTCAGTCATTTTGCAGAAGATTGCTCAGATGTGATATAACATAGAAGAATTCAGTGTAATTGCTGTACCCCAGGGAGATTGATGCCATTTAAAAGCATATTTGTGGCCTATCAACATACCTGTGTAAATATGAAAAGATAGCAGAATTATATTCCTGAATTTTCTCTGGCATGTTTGAATAACAATCGTGGTTATTTTGCATAGGGAGATTCTCTTAAACCACTGCTTATATTAAAGGCAGCCCTATAGCAGTGCCTGTTATTTTGTCCTCACAGATGAATGAAGAGTATGTAGATTTCCAGCTGAGACTAATGCTAAACTGCAGCACTGGGGGACTAAAATCACCTCCTTGCCTTTGGAGGCTTCATGGCTGCTCATTTAAAATGTGTGTGCATGTGCAGAACCAGTGGCACTGGCCTATAATAAAGCTTTTAAGCAGACTCAGTTCCAAGACAACAGAAATTCTTTGGAAGAATATACCGTTTCCTGCCGCCAAATGTGAGTGCCCCAGACTTTCTCAGACTCTGTCTCCTTTCCAGTATTAAAACTGGAGACAATGCTTACTGTCCGGGGCAATTCCTACTGCACCTGGAAGCACTTTATTTTTAGAGCAAACGTCTCCAAACTTGGGCCCCAAAACTACAACTCCCATCATCTCAACCTTTGTCTAGTCTGACTGATGAGGGAAGCCGTAATAGCCAAACCAGACTCTGCCTGTTTAATAAACACACACAAAACATATTTTGTGCGGCTCTGAACCCTCCGGTAAAAGAAACCAATAATCCTGTCAACTCATTTTAGCTTGACATAGCTACTCTGCCACTTAGAATCACAGTTATAACTGTAATAAAAGTGCAATTACTATTTTGTGTTCTTTATTACTCTAGTCGCAGAGTTGTCACAAAGTTGTCACACAACTCAGTGAAGTAGAAAATTGTTGGGATTTAGAGCAAATGCTTGTGGTCAGGGCTACCCCTGCCCATTTTGATGCCTGATCAAGAAATGTTGTCCTGTTCCCTGCAGTATCACAAGTTAAGTTGCACAGTACCCCCATCCCAGACAAGTTATTTTGCTTCACGAGGCAGAAAATTCCAGAGTTACACTCTCTGAGATTGAAAACACACGGCAATACTGCATTCAGACCAGATCTCAATTGGTAGCACCGAGTAAACCCATTGAATCAGTGGGATTTTGATACGCCTTCACTCACCATTCAGAATGTGACCCAATAGTCTGCACTAGTTGGAGCTAACCACTGACCCTAGGTAAAGGTAAAGGTTCCCCTTGACAATTTTTGTCCAGTTGTGTTCGACTCTAGGGGGCGGTGCTCATCCCCGTTTCAAAGCCATAGAGCCAGCGTTTTGTCCGAAGACAATCTTCTGTGGTCACATGGCCAGTGCGACTTAGACACGGAACGCTGTTACCTTCCCACCAAGGTGGTCCCTATTTATCTACTCGGATTTGCATGCTTTTGAACCGCTAGGTTGGCAGGAACTGGGACAAGTGACGGGCGCTCGTTCCATGACGTGGATTCGATCTTACGACTGCTGGTCTTCTGACCCTGCAGCACAGGCTTCTGCAGTTTAGCCCACAGCGCCACCACATCCCTCACTGACCTTAGGCATCTGTAATTAATAGCTTACTAGCTTTTTGTGATCTTCTCTGGCAGCTGCCCCCTTAAGATGAATGGTAGATCCCTCCACACTTATTGAAATATCTGTCTTCTGGTGTTCACGTTACTTTTATCCACCTTTGCCAAGTGGGACACTTTTTCATTTGCCAATAAGTAGAACCTGCAGTTTTGCACAACTCCAGTTAATTCACTGGGAGGTTATTCTACTCATGGTAAATGTTCAAGAAGACCTGTTCAACATCAATTAGGAACCACAGGTAGTTGAGAGGAATGGAGTAAAGCATAATGAGGGTAAATGCATGCAGATTACTGTATTATTGTACTTCTTGCCACTACATAATAATCTGTTTCAGCTACACCTTCCTTAAGAGCTTTTGCATAAACCTGCTAAACAGGATAATACTGAGTGACCAAACTTACTAAAGTATCATAAGGATTACCAAGATAGTGCATATGAAACACTTTGCTAAGCTTATCTGTAAAGTTACAATAGTTTCATGATTTTTTTTAAAATCAGCGATCTCAGTCTACTTTTATGAAAGATTCAGTGTCCTGAACTTTCCAAATGAATGCTTTTACAGGATTCAGAAAGAAATGTACAGTGAACCCACAAAGCACATGGTATTGTTCACAAGACGGAGATGAACCTTAATACCCACAAACCAAACTAAGTTACTATAAGTTTGTACAGCATTATTTGTAACAGCATTTTCATTTCATCACTTTTCCAGTGGAAGCAATGATTTGGTGTCAGCTAGGTTAATCAACGAGAACTTTTAAAATCTACTATTAATGTACTATTAATTAAAATCTACTATTAAATTTTATATCATTTAAGAGGGTGAATTCTATGCATGTTTACTGAAAATTAACCTTGTGCAGATGAATAGATGTGCACAAGCTTGATCAAGACTTGCTTCTCATTAAAAATGTAATATATATCATAGCCTCTTCCCTGTCACATGGCAACCACAAAGATGCAAATGTAGATAAATGCAATTTCGAACTCAGAGCAAACTAGAGCAAAAACGTCAGATTGTTTGAAGAAGGGGGAAAAGTCATAAAAGAAAAGCTACTGGGACAAGAAAGATCAAACTAAGGAAAATGGCACATTTTTTAGTTTGAGAATGGGATTGAAACGTCAGATTGTTTGAAGAAGGGGGAAACGTCATAAAAGAAAAACTGCTGGGACAAGAAAGACCAAACTAAGGAATAAGGCACATTTTTAGTTTGAGAATGGGATTACATCCAATAAAACACCACTGTTACCTATGTGCTGTTAGTTAAAACTGACTTATAATGACACTAACAGGGCTTTCGGGATATATGAGATATTTCAGGAATGGTTTTACCAGTTCCTCACACTACTAGTGAGTTTCCTTGGTTGAGTGGGATTCGAACTCAGTCTTCCTGAGTCCTAGTCCATCACTCTATTCACCACACTGGGCATACTCTTTGTTGTTGTTTAGTCGTTAAATCGTGTCCAACTCTTCATGACCCCATGGACCAGAGAATGGCAAGTCTTCCTGTCTTCAGAGGGGTATACTCTAGTGCAAGGGACTCTGGCAACAAAGAAGCTGGTCACTGTCCTGACAGAAAGGAAGGACCAGAGCATGCCAGGTCTTCCTGTCTTCGGAGGGGTATACTCTAGTGCAAGGGAATCCGGCAACAAAGAAGCTGGTCACTGTCCTAACAGAAAGGAATACAGGTGAAGGTACATCAGTGAGTTGATGCATTCATTCTTGTCGGATCAAACCGCTTTTGTATCACACCGACTTCAGTGACATTCTGAGCACTGAATAGCTGGCAGGTTCTTTGAAAGACAGGGAGGTAACATGGTGCAGAGCTTGCCATTCACCCTGTTGATTGACATTAAAAGTGCTACCATTCAGCACGCCTGAAGAAGTGATTTCTTCCCATAGTTCTTAAGGATGCAAGGTGCTCTTACATACCAACAAAGACAACTAACAAAACAACATCTCGACTATATTATAATCTTCCCCTCTTGCTGGTCTCCAAGATCCTTACTGTTTCGTTAGTGACCACTATTTTCTAGTTGGTTGGAAAGATCCCATCTTCTTTTCATCACTAGGCATATACATTTTTTCACTATTGGAATCCTGTACATGATTAATAGAGGTTTTCAGAGTAGAACAATGTTAATACTGTACCATTCCGTGCCAGGATATCACTTGCTGGTCAGTACTGGTTCTGTGCTACAATATGCTGCTTTTCAGTATTACATATTTACTTTATGCTGCCGTTTGTGTTTATCAGAAGCACTGGCTTAGCTGTAAACTGCCTAGAACCCCTTGGAAATAAGGAGTGGGGAAATAATCCAGTTTGTTTTTCTGCATGAGAAACCGTCTGCGACCACAATGTAGAGTTCTTGGGCAGCTACTAACAAGATTCTGCCCATATTTTAATTTGAAGGCAGCAAAAACAAACTATAGTTCCTCTGAGAACCAGTTTTAACAAATGGGGTCGGGATGTCAAGCAAATTAAGTGGGACCGGTTACTTTGAAGAGGCAGCAGCTGAGGATGGGTGAATCACATTTTAGGTCTCGGTTAGAAATAAAAAGTGTTTGCCCCCCCCCCCCAGTTTGTACAGGATAAATCCAGATTGCTTCTGGACCAAGGTTGGTTCTGAGGCATGAGGAGAATCCAACAAGCACCAAGGCAACATTCTTTTCTAACAGGCATCTGAAACTTGGCCAATCCTATACCATGAAGTTTTCCAACTTAGATTTTCTCCAGATGTGCAGACTTTATTTATTTATTTGTTTACTTATTTAATTTATATGCCACCCACTCTACCCAGAGGTCTCTGGGCGGCTTACAATAATACACTTTAGGTGTGTTTCTGGCAGGTGACTT